GTTTACAACAGGTAGGCTTGTTTGCTCTGTGACCCTCTCCTCATGATGTGAGCATCTGGTCTGTGTAAGGTTGCCCTGTTCTCACTAGATGCACAGGCTTATTGCATTCCCATGACCCCTCCAAAATTGAATGGGACACATATTTTTCCTAATCAACCAACCAACAGATTTATATGAGACAAACATTTTAGCCAGAGTGTTTTCTTTTTAAGGGAAGGGCAGAAGATTTTAAGATTGCGGAGGATTTTCACTCATAGATGGTTATGCATTTGACATAAACATATCAGCACATTATAAATCTCTTTGTTATGAAGAAATATTCACTCACGGGAGGTATTCCAAGGCCGAGCTACACGTGGTTTTGTTGCTGTTACTGTTTTCAATGCCTGGACTCTGTAGTCCCAAAGCCTGCTCCACACCTTGGGGTATCCCATATGGTTCAGAAGTTCCCTACCCACTTGACTTTCCTGGGATCAGTTCCATCGCTCCCCTCCTACTCGGTGTCTGGTGCTGCGCGACGTGCAGGCAGGTATGCGATCCACAGACGCACAGGAACCAGCCTATTTGACTTGTTTGCTGGGCAATCTACTGGGATGATGAGCCCAGAGCTCAGACATTCAGCAAACAAAACGGCAGCACTGTGGCTTCTCTGGGGGCCTGTTTGCAACCTCAGTGGATGGAGAGTGTCCCAACACCGAGAGCTCCCGGGAACCACACGTGTGAGAGAAGTTATACCCTCTCCCACTGTGGACATGCGCCCTAGGCTTGGGGTCCAAAGCACTTCTTCCTGCTTTCCTCCCACCCTTCGTCCCTTCCCTATGTTCTTAACTCGGCCTTGGACTTCAGGCCATACGACCTAGCATGGGTGGCCAGACTCTGCAGCTCCCTTGGCTCAGATTTCATTTCCAACCCTTCGTGCAGAAGGGTCTGTGGCTCTGGAGGGTGGGAAACTGCCACGGAGGTTCTCTGCAGCTGCTCCCAGCTGCCACAAAATGCCGACTTCTCCTGATAAGAACCAAAACCTCCTCTGCTCAGCCTGCCTCTCTGGTGGCCTTGCAAAACAAGGTAGTGATCGTTAGAGGCCAGATGAAGTCGGGGGAGAACTGACTCCTAAATACGGAGCTGAGCAATCTTCGATCTTCCTGAATGTTGTGGAGTGAAACAGTTTACGGGATACTGATCTCCGCGGAAACAGTCCAGTCTGGCTGAAGAAAACAACCCAAAACATGGGAAATAGAAGTGCCAGTATGAAAGACTGGATAATAAATACTTACTATCTTGTCCCAAAATATGAGACTGATGTGCTACAGAAACCAAACATGTATATGCACACACACATATAAACATGTATATGTATGCACACACACCCATATACATACATACACACATATCTTTAAATCCTTCATAAATAGGTATGTTTTCTCTTAGGAGAAAAAAGGCACACCTTCTCGTTGGTGCAGATATACACAGGCAGAGAAGGAGGCCTTCTTATTAAATTCTAAGCTCACCTGCTCTTGAACTCCAGCAGAGGCATTTGGTCTTGATTTCCAGAAAAGCCCTGAATGTTTAGAAGCCAGCGAAGAGTTCCCAGCTCCCCTTTATGAGCTCACCACACATACAATGGAAATGGAGACTATTCATGGCAATGGCTGCCTTCCCATGACATGCAAGCCACAGACATTTGTTGTAGATATCGTATCTGCTAAATTAAGTAAAGTGGAATGTTTTTTAAACCCTGTCGGGGTGGAGTTTCATATCCAGAAAACTACACTGAGGCACCCTAAATTATCATCAGCAAATTTCCTGGCATAATACAATTTGCTTTGTTTCACTTATTTTAAAGTAACATTGGGACATTTTAAATTAATTAGAAAATGTCCTTTGGTAAAGATTTTGAATAAGTTTTCTTTGCTTTTACTACATTTTCTCAAAGAAACAGTTGATCACACTATTCTTGGGATGCAGTTTATAAATTACTTTATTATTTTTTTTTCCAGCATAATAAAATTATTGAAACACCCTACCAACCGGTTTCTAACTCTCAAACTTATTCTCCAAGGGGTTTTCTCTAGTTTTCTAACAGCAACAGCTGTCTCCCTTCGTCAGGACAGTAGGGGGCAGTGCCACAGCAAACTCTTATGGCAGAAGGAGACTTCCTTAGGCCGAAAAACAAGGCTGGACATGTATGTATGATTCTCCCATGTCAATGAGCACCTAAAAGCTGTTATACAGATTTTTCTCTTCCATAATTCACTGGAGGGTTCAAATACTGGGGTTTCCTTTCTGTTGGTGTGTTTGTCTGTGGTCATATGTGGGGTAGAAGTCCTATACTGCAAATGTGGGGCTAACTCAAGAAAGTAACTGAATCCCTTGTTCCAAAATACTGACTAAATACAAGCAGCTGAAAAGCACTTAACAGTTAAGCCCTGGCTGGGTAGCTCAGTTGGTTAGCTCATCCACAGGATACGCCAAGGTTGGGGGTTCCATCCCCCGTCAGGGCCCGTACAAGAATCAACCAATGAACACATAAATAAGTGCAACAACAAGTTGATGTTTCTCTCTCTCACCTTTCCTTCCTCTCTCTAAAAGTCAATGAATAAACAAATTAAAATGCATTAAATAGTTAAGTGCCATTCTGTGTGGGATATTTTTTTTTCAAGGTTAAGTCTTCAATCTCTCTCACAAACATCAAACTTCAACTTCAGGGCCAAATGAAAAAGAACTGAGGCAAAATTTCATTAAATAATCACATAATCCAGGCTCATAGCTTAGATTTTTTTAAATAAGAGTTTTCAATATAATTGAGTTAAACTTAAATTTATGCATCAATAAAAAAAAAAAAAAAAACCATTGCAAATGGTAAAACAAAGACATTGCTCCAACACTTAGAAAATTAAATTCACCAAAGCATGAAGTCTACTGTGCAGTTATTTTTGTAACCACCATAAATTGCTTTATAGAACTCCTCTGCTGGCGTAAACAATTCAAAGAAAGATTTACTTTATAGCATGCATCCAGTTTCCAAATGAGAGAATGTTCTAAATGTTTATGACTTTTTTCCCTTCTCTCTCTCTCCCTTTCTCTCTCTCTCTCTCTCTCTCTCTCTCTCTCTCTCCCCCAATGCTTGTGTTTCTAGTTACTTTGAAGACTTTCTTCTCTCACACAAGCTCAGAAAGTTCCACAGAAAATAAGAGCCAGTTCTCTAGATATACTGGGCCCTCAAACACTCCTTTCTAGAATAAGAAGAAACAATCCTAGTTTGTAAAAATAAAGTCTAAATGGTAAAATTTAAATAAAGGGTTTTAGTACTAAATATTTCACCATATATAATAGCACCTCAGAGCCAAACATTGTCTTAGATATTCCGGGCAGTCAGCTTGAAATGTGTTCACTTATACACTATACGAGGCCGAATTCAATGCAAACCGCTATAGATAAGAGTTTTAGGGGTCTTTAATCACTTCTTTCTTGTGTCCTTGATGGAAAAAACAGAGCTGCCTTTGTGTTAAAAAGAAGGACCTGTTGTTTTCAGATTCAACAGGTCATTTTTATAAGAACTTCCCAGAGGATACAACATAAACGACAGAAACACAAGGGGATTTTTTTAAGAGACTGATGATTTTAAATGATATATATTTTATATTAAGGAAAGGTTGTTTGTTTTTCTTTCCAACAAATGGGAAGTTACTGTTTTAAAATGTTTAATGTTTGAATTTGACTTTTAGGACCAAATGTTTTCTCATGAGTTGGGTTACTGTAAATTCAGCTCCTGAAATCTATCTGAGGGTGTGTTTGACCCCTCATGTAAATAAACTTGTCAAATCATGTCCATTTCTGTTTTGGGGATGCATGGTTGATTTAGTGGGCTTTGGATATATATATTTACACTGTGTTGTAACTTTTGTAATACTGTTTCAGTTAAAATGATAAGACTGTACATTTAAAGAATAAGATAAAATTATAAAACGGAAAGTCCTGGCCATATTTTTCCTTGTTCTCAGAATAAAGAAAAAAGCCAATATTTTATGGCAAACAAAATCCAGGTGACATTAGGATTTATTAGAGTTTGGCCGATTCTATTATTAAAAGTGGGCTGAATCTGAGAAGACTGCTAAATTTAAGATTAACATCTAAATCAGACTTGTTTCCTAAACTGTATTAGGGAGGTTTTTCACAATGTAACCAGTGTCCTCATATGTCCCTCTTTTCTTCCTTTTTTTTAAATTGGCTACCTCATTTCTAAAGAGAATTGTTTGAAGAGCTTTGGAAAAGTTTCTGCCAGTCCAGAGTCAAAAGGTACTCTTCCTTGCAGATATAGATAGCACTTTACAAAACTCATTCCTCGCCCCAAACAAAAGTTATTACCATGGAAGACTCCTTTAAAACACAGTGACCCGTTTCTGACACATGCTCCAACATACTTCCCAGCTACCTAGACTCTGGTTCTGGACCCTTTCAGGAAGTGTCTATATTACCACTTAGAACAATTATCTGGGGGTCAAGGTGAATAAATACCTGGTGGCAAAGGCTGCATTAACCACAGGGAATTGCCCAGAAGGTAAAGAAGAAATAAAAACAGAAGAAATAAAAACTTAGGAAAGGGGTCATAGACTTAATAATTGATGCCCAGGTTCTAACTTAGGAGAGATTTTTTGTCTTCTTCAGCTAACTAGAATCCTCCCACAGAACAGGAGAAAAAGATGAGATTGGCTATTGGGGGGGGGGGGGAACAGGAATCCCCGGAACTAAAAAAATCATGAAGGTGCAAATTTCCCACCCACCACCTGGATAGCATCCACTATCCTGGAAAAAGAAGGAATGGTGGGGAAAGCGACCTCTCAAATTAAGGACAACTACTGATGATGACCCTTTGCCTTGTGCAAAATGGGGAGGGAGGTGAACTGGGGGTCAACGTGGGCTCTGTCAAGCCCTCCTCCTCCACTCCACACCCAAGCACCCCAGCATTCCGCCTGTCCTGCCAGGGTCCCGCGCCAGCTCACCGGTACCAGGCGAGGCCCTTGTCGTAGCTGCGGTCGAAGAAGTGGGGCTCGGCGCCCACAGCGCGCACGTCGGGGTGCACGCGCAGGAACTCCAGCAGCGCCCGCGTGCCGCCCTTCTTCACGCCGATGATGATGGCCTGCGGCAGCTGCTTGCTGCCTTCGTCCAGCAGCAGCTCCAGGGTCCCTGGCGGGGCCTCGGCCACGCTGCTCCCGGCCCCGGAGCCACCGGGGCCACCGGCCAGGCTGGGGGTCTCCTCTTCCCAGGCTGCTTCCTCGCCGCCGTCGCGCCCCGGGGGTCGCCGACGCCTCCGCCACTGCCGCAGTTGCAAGAGGCGCTTTCTCTGCCCCTCCGCGGGCCACACCGCCATCTCCCTCGGGCCTCCGGCCAGGACGCCGCGACCCGGAGCCCCCGCCTCCTCGTCGCCGCCCGACAGCCCCACGACGGGGCCCGACAGGGTCTGGCAGCGCTCGGCCAGACAGTAGAAGACGTAGAGGGACGTGAGCAGGGAGCAGAGCATCAGCAAGAACTTCCGGAAGATGCTGCGGGACAGCGGCTCGGCCGAGGCGGAGTGGGCACCGGCCGGGCCCGGAGGGGCCATCCTAGCCGGAGGCGACGTCGGGACGCGTGCGGGCCATGCTAGGCCGGGACTCCTCCAGGTGCCATGGCATCCTCCAGGAGGGCCTGCGGACTGGACGGAGGCCACATCGCCCGTGCGTCCCTGCGGCCCTGCGAGCTGCCCCGGGAGGCGGCGGCCGGGACTCCTCGGGGAAACGGAGCCCCGGGAGCCCGGCGCGGGATGCCTGCCTCAGGTCGCGGGGACGGGAAAGGAGACGTGGTGTCCTGCTTAAGAAACCATCGTCTTAGACTCTCCAAGTTCTGAGCCTTGTGGCAGGTTTCGGCGCCCCAGTTCTCTCAGAGTCGTGGAAATGGGGATCTCGGCGGCGGAGGCGAAGGCGTGCGTCTCAGCCCCGGTCCCGAACGGCCACTCGGCACCGATCTCCGCTCAGCGACCGTGCATCCCTCGCTCTGTTCGGGCGAGGGGACGCGCCGCACCGGTGCTGCTGAGCTCAGTGCGCTCCAGATAGCGGCGAGAGACACTGCCTCCCTGCCCCGGCTTCCTTGTGTCCTGGTCCGCCTGGGCGCACCCTCTCGGCCCTGGTGCGAGGTGCCCCGGGGTCCCGCGGCCCGAGCGGGAGCCAGAAGGCCGGCGCCCAGCAGTCCGCCCCTCTTGGTGCGCGCCGGCTGCTCCAAACCGCTCCCGCGCCCTACCTGGGAGCGGCGTGGCGGAGTCGGGCTGCGAGGGACCTGTCAGCGGCCGCGGCCACTGTGCTCGCAGGCACTCCCTCGCCGCCTCCCCGGCCGCCGCCGCCGCCACACGTGGGGCGCCCAGGGCAGCAAACTTGGCGGTGACGTCAACGGCCCGGGCCAGACCAGCCCCCGGACGAGCCGGGTAGGATGGAGAAAAGGTGGCGCGGACCCTGCAGCTGCGGCCCAATGACATCGGAGAGGGCGGGGGCGACCGGGGCGACGCCCCTTGCCCACTCCCCTTTCCCTCCCAGCCCTGCCAGCAGCCTTTCCTTTTTCAAGCGGAGCTGGGGGCTGCGGCGGCCCCCAGGTTGTCTGACTGACAGCTAGAGCCGGCCGGATCCCCGGGGGCCTGACTTCCACCCAGCGGACCACTCCCTGGATTAGGGGTTCCCAACCCCTCCGACTCAGCTCAGTCCTTCCTAGCCCAGACCCCGTCCCAGTCCCCTGAGCTCCTCTTCCCTCCCGCCTCTGTCGCTACATCCTTCCCGCGTCCCGCCCCCGCCTCCTCCCGAACCTTTGGAAGTTTTGTTGGCTGCAGTTCCCAGTACCGGGCTGCACGCCACGCCCCCGTTTGTCTCCGGCCGGCGGAATTCCTCCGCTGCAGCCTGGGCTTGCACCTACTCAGCTGTCCCCGGCCCTGGAGCCGCGCCTGCTCTCCCTCCCCGGCGTTTTGTTCTTCCTGTTGGTTGTTTTCCCTTCTATTAATTTAGGATGATCAAGACTTCCCGCGGACCTAGGAAAGAACCTCGTAGGAAATAAACCAATAAATCAAGGGGAGAAATTACGATTTAAAAAAATCTATCAGCTCCGATTCCAAATCCATATGCCCAATTTTTGATGATGGATTGTTTTTAGTGTGTGTGTGTGTGTGTGTGTGTGTGTGTGTGTGTGTGTGTAAAAGAGTTAAATGTCCCTTCATAAATGGCGATTTCCTCTCTCTTGCCTCCCCTGACCCCATATCCTCTTCTTGTGCTCCCGGGGGAGCAGGTCAGGAAGGGATACAAATCGCCTTGCTGTTTAATGGAGGGAGGTGGCCAGTGGAACCTGCATGAGGTGGGTATTTTTTATTCCAATCTGATTTGTTTCTGACTTCTTGGCTTCCTTGTCTCTGCAGGACGCCGTGCCATGTGGGCGGTAGCCGGGCGGTGCACAGCGACCCCGCAGCTGCGGAGGCAGCCTCTGGGCCCGCTGCGGGTGCTGACCAGGGCCCGCTAGCAGGCGCCGCGCCAGTGCCCAGGAAACGGGGAGTCCTGCTGCCCAGTGCTGGGACTTTGCAACCTTCCCCTCTCCTGAGCTCTGTTTGACCCTGGAAGTGGAAGTCAGGAAAGTCCTTGATAACTTTCCAAAGGCGTCTGAGTGGTTCTCACCTTGCTTGGGTGAAACTGGTGTGTGTGTGCGCCCGCTGGATAAATAAATACTCAGTGCTGGATGTGGTTTTATGTTTACGAAGTACCAATCCCAACCTATTCTACAAGCCCGCGAAAAGCTTATTAGATTCTGATGCCATAAGCAGTGGGCTTTTACAAGTGTAACAAACAAGTCCTGCCAAGCTTTAAGGAGCTTTGTGTGCTAAAATTGGATATCGACAAACCAGTTGAGGTTTAATACTAGTTTGAGATTTAGTGTATTTTAAAGTTTTTCTCTAGGTATTTCAGTCTGCGTTCCAGAAGGAAAACGAGCAACAACAAAAATCAGACCATATTAAAGTTATTCTGAAGGCATGTGCAATCCCATAAATGCTGACAAACACGACTCGGTTTTCTTATCCTGAAAATGATGTCTCCAAGCTCCCTTCTAGCTCCCACATAGTAGGATAGTGTGTGTTAGGCTTTCACATTTCAAACATAGGTGACTCCTTTATGTGGCTTTTAAAAATGCACATTATGTAGGAGATATGTTGTCAGGACCACTCATTCATTTTCCAGGGCCTCTCTGTACATTAGAAGTCAAATACAAGCCACAAATACAAGCCTCATCGGGTCATCTAACATTTCTCATAGCCACCTTTTAAAAAGGTAAAAAGAAACAGGTGGAATGAATTTTAATAATATATCTAATATACCTAAAAGTATGATTTTCACATGTAGTTCAATATAAAAATAATGGAGGTCATTTACGTTCTTTCTTTTCATACCAAGTCTTCGAAATCAGTGTATGCTTTATGCTTCCAGAACTTCTTTATGGAAACAAGCCAATTTCAAGTGCTCAGTTACCCACGCATGGCTAGTAACTATCACACTGGACAGTACAGATGGGGATGTTTTGGGTGAGAGGGTGTATTTCTCAGAGTCCCAACAGAAAACTGGCAGCACATTCTAATTAGGATAATTTTTGGAGGGTTACTTTGCAAAAGACTTGTTTACAAAGTAGTAGGAAAGGCAAAGACAGGGCACAATGCAATAACTTGGGCTAGTAGCATTAGAGTTGTTTCCACCCTTAAGTCTAAAGGAATGAGGGAAGGAGACATTATCAAAACCTAGAAGGAAAAAGTCATCTAGAGGAGGCTCTTGAGAGAGGCAGGTAGCTTCATGGGTGGAACATAGCCCACCTAAGGCAACTTCTCAGGAAAGGGTCAGAGAAAGAGAGAGTTTTTACAAACACAAAGAAAACATAAAACAAAAACAAACACCCCCCCCAAAAAAAATCAGTAGGGGATAGGTATGTGGCATACGTCTAATCACAAAACAAAATTAAGAAGATTTATTCAAGTCCCATTATAACATTAGTTACAGTCACACCACAACCCTTTAGAAACTGCTTCTTTTCATTCACTCAGCATTTATTAGACTGGAAACCAGGCGCAGCTAGTCATTATGGAACTTTGAAGGGAGAAATATGGTTACCAAATACCAAAAAGCGCCATGGACTTGGTTGCAGTTTTTTCTTGTTTCTCCCTTTCTCTTTGTTATTCCATGTTCCAGCACATGCCCCTCCTTCCAGGCAATAAGGCTATACCAGGAAGAGCTCTTGCCCTCATAGAAGCTGGTCTCAGTGGTGAGGTAGGTGAGGCTGATGCCCAGTGCCTTCCAGCTTCCTTCTCTGCAGCCTTGTCTCCCCTCTCGGTGCCCACTTCTGCTCCACCGTCCTCCGGGGAATGCTACCCACAGGCCTTTCTCAGCCCTGGACCTTCCAAATCCATCTCTCTACTGTACAAAACATTGCTTACCTCCTTCATCCCCACCCACAGACTGTTTCCTTAGAAATATATTTTAAATGACTTTCTTCCAGAATCAGTAAATCATGTTTATTTAAAATGCTTGATATACAAGGAAATTTTAAAGCATAAAGTAAAACAAATCAAACTCAAAATTTTTAATTTTATTGCCTAGAGATGACCATGATTAATACATTGGTTAGTTTTCTTTAAAGTTCATATATATATGAAATTGGCCTTTGAACCCCTAACAGCAGGGGTTAGGTGCACCATGAATACCAAAATCTGCAGATGCTCACATCTCCTATATAAAAAGGTCGAGAACAATGCATATAGTGCGCCCTCCTCATCCACAGACTCCCAACCACCAATTGAAAATAGTACAGGTAATGATCCAACAAGGTCTGTGCACAGGTGGACCTGTGCAGTTCAAACTTGTGTTGTTCACGGGTCAACTCTACATATAGATAGAGATGTGCTATATAATGCTATAATAATTATATACAGTAATTATATAACATCAAATATATATTTTATATAACTTACATATATAATAATATGTACTATTATATGTATTATATAATATGCAATATGATTTATATATGTATTTATAATATATAATTTATATGTAAACCTATATATAAAATTATACATATGAAATTGTGTATATATATATATATATATATCCATCTATAAATAGATGTAGAGAGTTTTTTAAAGACTAAGACTTTCAAGCAGCGTGGAGAACGTGGAGAGCCTCCTCTGGCCATTTGCAATAATGAGAATAATTGACCTATGTGGACTCAGGAGTGGTTCTGCTCCGAGAATGTAGCTACTTCACTAGACCGATATCCTCCCTTATCCAGAAGCCCGGCCTTTCTAAGAAACAGCCCTCAGGCCCTCCATGGCCTCGCTCCTGTCCTCTCTGTCCTCATGCCCCGTCTCCGTCCTCGGCCAGCTCCAGCTGGCCAGCCAGCACGAAGACTGAGAACTTGGGAGCCTGTGGATGTAATATATCCAGCTCAGCCTCCTAAAGCAGCTTCAGGGGGTGAAAGGGTTCTGGGGGAGCAAACCAATTATGTTCTGCATGTGGGGAAACAGATTTTAGGAGCTTATACTGTTAATGGGACAAAACA